TGAATAAAATAAAGAAGATACTAAACCTATTTATATAGGAGTGAGTTATTATAATTGTATGATATTTACCTCAATACCCTATTGAGTGATCATGAACTTGAGAAACTTGTCACCTCCTATGCAAAATAGGTATTTCTTCGAATTGAGACACATATTGTAGCTTCCTATCTCTTCAAAAACTCTTTGTAAATGAGTGGGGTGGTCGACTTGTTGTTTTGACTTGACCATCATGACATCTATATAAACTTAAACAATATCTCCCACTAGTCTTTTTAATTTGCAATCCATTAGTTATTGATCAGTGGCTCCAAGGTTTTTTAATTTTAAGGTATTACTTTGTAATAGTAGTTCATACATTTCGTGATAAAAGTCATTTTCTCTTTATCTGGTGTGTACATTCTTATCTAGTTATATCCGGAGTAAGCATCTAAGAAACTTAGAATGTTTGGATCGGATGCGCTATCAATTAGACGGTTGATGCTCGACAACGAGTATGAATCATTTGGACAGGTTTTGTTTAGATCTGTATAATCGATACACATTCGTCATTTTCCATTTGTTTTTTGGCCAACACTACATTGGCTAACCATGTAGTGTATGCCTCTCAGATGAAGTCAGCTTGCAAATTTTTGTCGACTTCTTAATCTACAACTCTTCTTCTCTCTCCTCCTAACTTATGTTTTCTTTTATGTTATAGGTTTGGTTTAGGGTAAAATTGTTAATATATGCGAGATTATGTTATGGTTAACACCTAGTATGTTGGTTGCATACCATGCGGATAAGTCAACTTTTTAAAGAAAGACCTCTTCAATTTGTTTGTGAGTAGTTGTCTCGGATGTGTTGTCGATGTGTGTGACTTGGGATGCGTCTTTTCCGAGTTGGAAGTTTGATATGTCTTTCTCGAAGGTAGACTGCTTTCCATCTACTTTTACTCGAGGGTCAAGATTGACTCTTTTTATGTTGTACACTTGTGTGTCGCCTCTACACTCTTGTAATATCGAGTTTTATTCGACCTTGAGGCTTTTGGAATAACATGTTCGAGCTTCCTTCGAGTCTGACTTTACCGTTATCACCAAACTATTATCTGCCGACGGAAACTTCATCATGATTTGGGGGTTTGATATAATTGCCCCTAATTGATCCAACGTTTGTCTTCCAATTATTAAATTATATGAGGTGTTTGATTCCACCAATATGAATCACATCGAGATAATGCATTGGGTCATGGTTCGGAAGGTAGTTATTAGATCTATGTAACCTCGGGTGTGAACTCTATCTCCTGTGAAACCGAGCAAAGGGTCTAGATATAGATGTATCTGATCATGTGATATTCCTAATTTAAGGAATATCAACCAATACAACACATTATCTAAACTCCCTTAATCAATTTATGTTTTCCTAACCTCACAGTTCGCTATTGTGACTATAATGACTACTGGGTTGGATCATACCTCTCGTAATCTTTCCTATAAAAGATGATGTTAGGGAAGTTTGGTATTAAGGGATCGACTTATACATGGTATACGACACATAGGTTTTTCTTTCGTACTGAGCTAGTTGGTCTTCCATCGACGAAGCCTCATACTATGTGTTGATTACTCTTTGCATTTTTGGGTTGGTTTTTAAGGTTGGGTTATGGGTTGGTTGCCTTCTTGTTGATAGTATCCTCGACCACGACCTTGGTATCCACGTCCTCGACCTTGATAGCCTCCACGGTTTCTTTCATTATGTGTCCAAACATATTGGGCTAATTTCCCTAATTGTATTAGATTTTTAATGATGTCTCGCATGTTTGAGCAATCTTTTGTGCTATGGCCATAATTTTGATGGTAAGCATATCTTTTCGTTCAGTTCGCATTCGATGTCATGAATGCTTATTGATGTAAAGTCATCAACTTCATATTGCATACTTCTCACAAGATAACTTCATGAAAGACATTCAGGGGTGTTTAGTTATCATAATGATCCTTCTTACCCGCTTATAATGACATTTTCATCTGCTTCGTCGAGTTCTTCTTCCCTTCTTCGTCGTAGCTCGATATTTTCTTCTAACTAGATTTTGTTCGAGGCTCATGTTATTCATTCATGTCTTTTGGCCTATTGAGGTATAAGCTCTCCAAAAATGGTCTAGTTCGTAGGTCGATCATCATGGTGTGCATTGCGATAACTAGTTCTAAATCGAGTATGGTGAGGCTGATGGTTGTGAAGGTCAATGAGTTAGTTGTATGAGGTTAGCTTGGAGCAAATTAAACTCTCAATTTACTTGCTAAGTACTCAAAGCAAGCGACATATCCGTTTGGAAGTTCATAATACCATTACACCGCAATACCATTATACCGCAATACCCTTAAGTGTGGTTTTAAAAATTTGACATTTAAAGGAATCTCTATTTGAGTGTACTTCCATATGTGTAAGGAAGGCTTGGATGTGCTCCTCGGTCTTGATGTACGAGTCGACTAGGGGTGCACACCAATTTTGAGAAAGGAGTTCGCCGAGTATACCCAACACAAATGAGTGTTCATATTTTGCATAGGTTTGTACCGGAACCCGAGTTGACACAACAGACTCACCTTCTTTTTCAATTTTATTTGACTTAACTTTCTTTTCTACATTAGTCTTTTGTGGCTCGGTATTGGTTCAAGCTTTTGTGGTTCGGAGTTTGTAGAATGGGAGTAGGATTCTACAGTAGCAGCCACTTCAACTTCATTTAGTATTGTTTTCTTTTGCATCACTGGTTTCTTGGTGATCTCATTGATTTGATCATGTAAAACCTTCTATTCTTCTTGCTATCATCTATGATCTCGATCAGCTTTTTCTTACGAACTCGAAATTTTGCATTAGTTTGTTGTTGCAATTCGGCCATGTGAGCCTTAAGGCCCTCAATGAGTGTGGTTGGTTCCATGATATGTGGAAAAGGATGGGTGCTTTATCGTCTAATCTCTAGGTGAGCGTGGAAGAAATTTTACTTTATCCCATGGTGGGCGTTAAGTGTTGTTACCTAGATTTGAATAAGGCCTCTGAGTTCCCTTCGATTAGGTTGAGCAAGTGTAGATTGAGTGGGGGAATACCTATAAAAAGTTCTTTGATGCTTAAGTAAGTGAAAGAGAATGAAAAGTAAAATATGATTGAATGAAATAAAGGAGATGTTACGCCTATTTATATAGTAGTGGGTTACCATAAATGTCTGAAATATATGAAATATCTTATCCCTATTGTTTAGTATATATTTTTAGATAATTGTTGTGTATCTTAGAGGAAAATTGTATCTGAGTATCTCAAACATTGCCAAAATACTTAGATAATTCTGAGATATTTTCTCTAAATACCTCATTGATTATAATATTCATTTATTTTTGGATATGTTAGGTAGACATGTTTTTAAAGTAAAATAATTAATTTGGTGTGTAAAAAACTTATAAAAAATTAGGATAAATCTCATTAAAAAAAATTAAGAACACTAATTATAAATTATTAATAAAATTATTATATCGATATTTTGAAGAGACAACTAAACCCTAAAATATTTACTAATTAATTTTTTTAAATTTTATAAGTACTATTAGATAATAATATAAGCAAGTAAATAATATAATATTGTTGAAGGTTTAATGCCTTTATTAATTGGCTTAGTTATTATTTTGGTTCCAATATTTTATAAAATTCAAAATTTTAGATTTTTCACATAATTTTAGTTTTCTAATTTATAATTATTTACAATCCTTATTCTTGGATTTTCTTTTACAAAGTGTTGATTTTAATTTTTTTGATAATTTTGTTCTTCTAATTTTCTTGAACATGTTTGAAAAATATATAAATGATAGGAAATTATTAATAATGGTTTAATAAATTTTTAAAACTTCTTTATTTCATTCAATCATATTTTATTTTTCATTCTTTTTCACTTATCGAAGAACGTTTTCAAGGTATTTTCCCACTTAATTGTACTTGTTAGACTTAATCGAAGAGAGTTTAAATGTCTTCTTCAAATTCAGGAATTAACATACACATAAACATGTTTTAAAAAAAATATCATTAATAAACTTAAACTATTATTATACATATTAATTTATGAAAAAATTAAATAAAAATATTTTCCTTTTACTTTTATACATGTATATAGTTATTTATATAATATTTATAGTATATATATAAAAAAATTCATACTAATAGAATACCTCCTCCTACAATGCACAAGAAATAATTTATTAAATTATCATGTTATGTTACACAAGTAATTAAAACCACATATAAAAAGATATATACATTTAGAAAATATATTAAGTTAAAATTAATGTACATGTCAATGCGTAATAAAATAAATTTACAACATGTTAAATGTAGTGGCATAAAAATTGTGATAAAGTAATAAATGTAAATATAAATGATATCATGTTTTTCTAAGAAATAAATAACCTTTATGTAACAATTTCAAAAAAATATATAATAATAAAAGCATAGAGATACCATTAATTTGTTAAAAAATTATAAAAAAAATATAAACTGAATTTAGAGTGTTTAATTTTCAAAAATAAATATAGAAATTTAATTTAATTCAAGGTATTTCAGTTTTTTGTTTATTTTATTGTTGGTTTATTCAATGTTTAAATAAATATTATATCCGGTTCCAAACCCGACCCAGCATGCTAACAACCTATTCGAATATGTTCCCAAACCAAGCTCAAAAACGACATAATTGTTCTGTAATTCTTAAACTGAGTTAAAGGATTTTGGATCGGGTCGGTTATAATACGGCCCTGTATCCACCCACCGTTTTCCAACAACACGAGCAATGCAAGTAGTTGCTCCATTGAAGCAATTATAAGGTGGTTCTCATGTTCCATAGTTACCATGCGTTTCTTCTCTCTCTTTCACAACCTTTTCTTTTCTTTTTCCGTAAAAGCGAACCCAAACACCTCCTTCCTCGGCCACCAAAACACCAACCCTTGTGACCCAAATCTCTGATCTCGCGGAACCATAACGCTCTCTCCACCGGTTTCGCCATGGCCAAGAAGCGCAAGTCAATCACCACCAGCCTTGACGAGGTCGATCGGACCCTCTACGCCTCCTTTTGCACAGCCGCCAATTCCCTCTCCCAGCTCTACTCGCACACCATGAACCACCAGAAACTCTCCTTCAACGCCGGCGAACGCCACGCCCTTGTAATAAAGCTCTCGCCTTTTTTGTTTGATTCTTGTCGATTCGCCTTTTCAATTTTGCTTCGGAAGAAGGATTTTTTATGTTGCTGGGAAAGTGGAATTTGGATTTTCTGGTTTCTTTTATTTGTTGTCTTTTTTTGTTGTTTGAATTGTTGTGATGCTGTGTTTGATTTTAGGCGTTTTTTAAATTGAGATATGTTTTTGTGCTTGATTCTGTATTCGGGTAGATTGGATTTAGATGAACAATATGTGCTTGTGTTTTTTTTTTTTGTACATTGAGGAATTTGAAAATGTGGGATGTTTTTCTGATCTGACATGCTTGAATCAGAGTTTGTTCATTTTAGTTAGACAAGTTGAGTCGAGATTATTTGAACTAGTTTTAGCTGCTTTTTTTTTTTTTTTGCTTTGGGGAAATTATGTTGTTCTAGAAACTATCACCTTTTTTTTTTTGCTTTGTTGAGTACTGGTTCTCTTTTTTCAACTAATGTTTTCTTACTGAGTTTTGGGAAATTTTTTTTTTTAGTTCCTTATTGACCTCATTTGTAGTTCATGGACATTCATTGTTCTGTTTCTTTCATCTTTTATGTAGGTTGATTGGTTGTGTTGTGTATAGTGGCTAATAGGTATCTTTATATATATATTCTTTCGAGTTGTGGCTCAACTTTTGCAGTTGCCACTTTTCTAGTGTTTTACTGTAGCATACTTATTCATGTGTCTAATTATGCTTTGCTCTTGGTTTTGGCATTTTGACCATTTGTTTATATTTTTGTCGCGGGACGCTCTGGTTTCAGGATAAACTTCATCAGTGGATTTGGAGACAACAAGAAGGAGGATCAAGGGTTGGAACAGTTGATGTACTCAACTACATTCAGGTTGGTTTGGCATTTCTTTCTTTTGCATATAATATAGTATCATTGATGCATGCTTGTGCTGATTGGGACTGGGTATTGGTGTGTGGCAAACACAGGTATAACACACATGGAGGATGGGCTTGGACTATAGTTTACACGCACAAAAAATAGAAAATTGCAGGAATATATGGCTAATGCAACTAAATTTCGGACTTTAGATAAACTGCATCTTTAAACCTTTAAGACTATTGACATGATCATGGGCTAAATTTTTCGCTTAAGTATGTCGATTTATAAGCTTTCTGAGCCAAGCCTTTCAAAAGGCTTCATATACCAGTCTATAAACCATCTAGGATCAGGAGAGTGTTATTTTACACACAGGGAAATAAGCTGGTAGTGATGCATGTGCTATTTTAAATTTTGCAAGCACAATTATTTGAATTCTTTTAACCCAACTGTGGGCTTTAGAACGTTTGTGATGTAAAGTACCCTATAAACTTCGAGTTTTATCATACTGCTATACATCTAGTTATACTCCATGGTTGTGAATATTCAACTTTAGTGGGACAAGCAGAGAACAAGGTGAGAGTAGCAGAAATGAGAATGTCAAGTTGGATGTAAGGTCACTCAAGAAAGGATAAATATGAAATGATTATACACTAGGAGATATTGATGTGGTACCAATTGAAGAAAAGATGGTTTGTACACATGCACAGAAGGCTATTAGAAATGCTGTTGAATAGAGTATATTGCATCGGTTTTCAGTAAAACCTGTGAAAAGGCGGGAAGAGAGACCAGTAAAGACACTAGAGGAAATTGTCAAGAGGGATCTTATGGTGGATATTATCCTTGAGAATTTATCCTTTAACTGAGTCTCGAGATTTCATGCTTTCTATGTAGCTGGTCTCACTTATTGGGATAAAACTTTTGTTGTTATTGTCGCCTTTAGTAGCTAGCTACAAATACAAATTTCCTTGGGATCGATGATCTTTATGTAGTGTGAATTTTGCCATTTGTGATGCTCACTTTTTCATAATCATTTATTTTTCTTGTTTTTGGTTATGAAGTATATAAAAACCCATTCCTCTTGCAGAATGAGCTAGATTATTGTGGAGAAGAGCCTTCTATGTCACCTAGAGCACCACTGCAACACCACCAGTCACAACCAGCAATGCATGTTCCGAGCTTGGAGCCAGTCCTTTCAGCATCTTTTGGCCAAACTATAGCTGCACAAGGACTCCGCACTGAACCTGGTGAAAATCAACCAAAGAATTCAGTGTTTTCGAATGCCTTGTCAAGTCCAATATGGCGAAGCCTTCAACATTATCAAATTGGTGAGGGAGGATCCTACACCAATGGTCTCTCCATGGGGAATGGGAACCGGAACAGCGAACATGGCTTTATTCCCCAGCAAGGCAGGGACTCAATAGTATTGAGCTCCAATGATTCTGCCATGGATATGCATGCAGACTAGTCCTGTATATGGGTTTATCAATTGGGAAGTCATAACTCACCAGCCTTCTGCAACAGCTACAAAAGAAGCCAACAACCTTCGAAATTCCATATCTGGGTTTTCTCATTGGATCCTGCAAGAAAAGACAGGAGGATGGAACCAATTCTGTTAACCTTTTACTATGCTTATGTCAACCGGGTGATTGGTTTGAGGTCTTAAGTGGTTTTTGTAAAGTTCTCTATTGATTATCTTTAAAGCGTTTTATTTTGTACCTTAAATTGTTGTCACCCTGGCCCTTCCACCAAAAAGGCTTCCTTTTCAATGTAGGGGCTGATTCTATCTGAAGTTTCTTTTGTAAATCTATTTTTACATAAATTTTCTCTATATGGCAATTCAGAGACTTGTTTGTTTTTCTTCTTCAAAACACATTATCCACTGCCCCATTCAAATAAGCCATGAAATTAAGAAAAAACTTGATGAATCTCATATACAAATTCATGGCTTTTGTGTGTAGGTATATGCAACAAGACGTGTCTTATATCCCAATATGTCATTGAACTCATTTCCTTCATGCATGATGTTCATCTGTACCTCAGGGTTTGACAGCTTCAGGTATTTGAACTATTGAACCAAACACTTTATGTCAAGCTAATGAATCTAGCTTAGTTCCAATCACATCAATGTAACATTCTTTTGTATTTTGAGATTTTGACTCATCATTGATGAATTGTTCGTGCAACTTAATGAGATCTCATAATTTGATAGTATTGAGATAGTTTCTTGTGTAACTTATGGAGAAATCATTGTAAAAGAGTACAAAACTGAATTAAATAGGAAGGAACACCTTTTTTAAGATACTTTATTTTCTTAAAAGCATTAGATTTGTATCTAATTAACTTTCATTATTAATGATTCATCATCTATTTATTGAGTAGTCACCCAAAACAATACCAATTGGATATATAGTACTTATTATGGTAATTGACAGGGGACCACATGAATTTAGTACTTATTTCCAATAAATACTTAAAAAAGAAGTTAAAGTGTAAGGTGCCTTGTTTCTTCCTCTTTAAGTTTCATGATTAAAGAATTATTTGGAATGAATAAAAAGATTGTAAAAAATAATATTGAATTGATTGGTTAAAAAGATTAAATAATAATATAAAATAATAAATGGTTAAAAATTATTTTTATTGTAAATTTTAATATAAATATAAATTAAAATATGATATAATATGAAATAATTATTTTTTAAAAAGTAAATGAAATTAATTTATATAAATTATAAAAAAACTTGTAATGTTTTATAAATATATTTAAACTTTATTTTATTATAATAATAATATTGAAAATACAAAAATTATTTGAAAAGAAATACATTATAATTATTATTTTTATATTTTTATAAAATTTAAATTATTAAATATATTATTTTTTACTTTTTTATATTAATAAATTTGTATTAAATCACTATAATTTAATAAAATTGTATATTATATTAAGTTCACTTTTTTTACATATTCACACTCATGCTTTTCATTTTTTTTTCTTTTAAACAAGTAAATAATCATAAACAAAGAAACGTAAGAGACAAGGTAAGGGAGACAATTTATCTCGTATACATTTACACATGTTGAATATAGAAGAAATAGAGTTTGGGATTAATCTCTCTTGTGTATAAATCACACATAGGGTAGTCTATTTATAGTAGAGAGATACAACTAAAAGAGTAATCGAAAGTAATGGAATAAACAGAAGATATTGTTAGATATTATTGTTTGATATTATGGTTAATATCTAACAATATCTTAACAATATTAAATAATATATAAACAATATCTAACACTCCCCTCAAGTCGGAGCATACAAATCGTATGTGCCAAGCTTGTTACAAATATAATCAATTCTAGGATCCCGTAAAGATTTAGTAAAAATATCTCGCTAACTCGATCACTTGAGTTAACAAACTCGATCTTGATGTCTCCGGACATAATCTTTTCTCGAATGAAATGACAGATCAATCTCAATGTGTTTGGTCCTTTCATGAAAGACGAGATTAGAACTAATATGAAGAAGCGACTGATTGTCACACACAAGTGATATTTGAGTGACATCTCCAAATTGTAACTCTCTAGCTCTATATTCTCGCTTCGCACTAGATCTTGCCACAACACTTTGTTTCTTACTTTTCCATGAGACCAAGTTACCACCAATGGAGACACAATATCCGGATGTAGATCTTCATCCGAAGGAGATCCCGCCCAATCGACGATCTCGAGTAACAAACAACTCTTGTATGATTATTAGAATCATATAACAATCCTTTTCCAGGAGATCCTTTAATATACTTTAAGATACGAATGACTGCATTCCAATGATCTTCACATGAGGAATTAAGAAATTGACTTACCACACTGATCGCAAAGGAAATGTCGGGACGAGTAATCGTAAGATAATTCAATTTTCCAACCAATCTTCTATACTCGCTCAGGATCGGTATAAGCTCCCCCTGATTTGGTAAAAGTTTAGTATTGGGATCCATGAGCGTATCAACAGACTTTGAATTCATCAACCCAGTTTCCTCTAAAATATCCATGACATACTTCCTCTGAGATATAACAATACCATCATTGGACTGTGTCACCTCAATACCCAAGAAATATCTAAGTTTGCCAAGATCTTTGGTCTGAAAATGGTGACAGAGATGTTGTTTCAACTGAGAGATGTCATGGTTGTCACTACCTGTAAGAACGATGTCATCAACATATACTATCAAGTAAACACATCCAGCACTTGAGTGTCGATAAAAGACAGAGTGATCTGCTTCACACCGAGTCATACCAAAATGTTGAACAACCTTGCTAAACTTTCCAAACTAGGCCCTAGGAGACTGTTTTAGGCCATATAGGGATTTGCGAAGATGACATACCATCCCAGAAGACTTTCCCTGAGCAACAAACCTAGGAGGTTGCTCCATATAGATTTCTTCTTGCAAATCACCATTGAGGAAAACATTTTTAACATCTAGTTGATAAAGAGACCATTGTTGAAGAGTGGCCATGACGATAAATAAACGAACAGAAGTCATCTTTGAAAGTGATACTAGCAAAGATCTCAGTGATTTGATGAAATCAAAGATAAAGTCAAAGGTCAACTCTGCAACAGTCAAACAAGTCACTCAGAAGAATGGAGCTGAAGACTTAGTGTGTCTTATCAGAAAGCTTAGGTAAAACCACTTTACCTTTTCCACTGCATGAAGCTCCTTCACTCAATTTACAAAATGCCTCAAAAATAGTTTTAAACAAATCAAACAAAAGCATTTTGACAAAGAACTTTCTTAACAATGTTTTTAACTGATATAGTTTTAAAAGACAGTATTTTAATCGATACAAACTTCTTTTAATCGATTAAAACCCTTTATGACCGATTAGAATTCGAATATGACAGTCGAATGAAATATAATCGATCAGACTTTAAAAATGAGCGATCAGATTTATTTTAATCGATTAAAACACGTTTTAATCGATTAAAACCACTTTGGAAGTCAGGATGATCGATCAGAATGAAATTATGACCGATCAGAGTTGGTTATGATCGATCAAAATTGAATTATGACCGATCAGACTTATTTCAATCGATTAAAACGACTTTATATCAGCTAAAATAACTTGGAAAGTTTTATAAGAAGGTTTTTAAGCAAATCAATCGATTAATACGCGAATCAATCGATTGAATTACTCTTTGAAAATGTTTGTAAAATGTTTTAACTGATAAAAACGTGGTCGTATCAGCTAAAACAATTTTGTTAAAGAACAAGAACGCATTAATGGGTTGAAAGGACTTTTAACAGATTATAACGGCTATTTCAACAGATTAAAACAAACTTTCAACAGATTAATTAATGCAGCAGATTTGAAAATTCTCTTTAAAAACAGTTTTGCTTGAAACTTTTAAACAGAGATTGTACATCAGTTTTTCATACATCCTTAAGCAATCAATCAGGCAACTTTAGCACTTTTTCAAGAAAGATTCGCAACAGTTTTTTTGAAGTTATTTTGAAAATCTTTCTTGAGGCAACTTGCATACTTTTGAAGAAGAAACTCTCTGCAGATTTGGATAAACTGGTTTGAGCTTTCTAGTTTCTTCTTTGTAAATTCTTTTTCATTCTTTTGTATTGTGTTGTGCCTGGAATTTGGGCACAAGTTTCTCTGCAGTCTGGAAGTTGGTTGTGGAGGTTATCAAGAACTGGAATTTGGTTCTTGGTGAAAGGTTTGGTGCCTGGAATTTGGGCACTCGGTTTCTCTGCAACTGGAATTTGGTTGTAGAGGTTATCAAGAGCTGGAATTTGGTTCTTGGTGGAGAGGTTGAGTACGAGGAACTGAAATTTGGTTCTTGTATTGTGTGGTGCCTGGAATTTGGGTACTTGGTTTCTCTCGTACTGGAATTTGGTTGCAGAGGTTATCAAGAACTGGAATTTGGTTCTTGGTGGAGAGGTTAAGTGCAAGAACTGGAAGTTGGTTCTTGTGTTAGATTAGGTGTAAGATTGTTGAGTCCGTAAAACATCTATTCTAGTGGAACCCAAGCTGGAATTTGGCTGGAGACTGGACGTAGCCCTGGTATTGGGTGAACCAGTATAAAATATCGGTGAAATCTTTCTTAACCTTTCTCTCTTTAACTTCTGTTGCTGCGCCTAATATTGTTTGATTGCTTGGTGATTCAAAAAGATTTTTAGAAACTTAATTTTCGAATTAGATAATATGAGATTTGCGAGAAACTTTCAAAAGATCAATTCACCCCCCCTCTTGATCTAAAACTACTTTTCTAACAATCTTTGCCACAGGGGAAAAGGTATCTCCATAATCCAACCCAAAAATTTGAGTATAACCTTTGGCCACAAGACGAGCTTTGAGGCGATCAATAGTACCATCAGGTCCAACTTTGATAGCAAACACCCACCTGCAACCAACAACAGATTTCTCAGACGGTAACGAGACCAATTCCCAAGTTTCACTATTATGAAG